CTCAACAGCTGATCAAAACCTAATATAAATGATTTCCTAGTATTGAAACTTATATCAATAGTACTGATTCAATACAAAAATTATATAAAATCTGTGTACAGTATAATGGAAGTTTTTAACTTTTAAAAAACATTTGTGGAAATTTGCTTTTTATTTTAAATTATTTTTATTTTCAAAAATTAATAACACATTTCATCTAATACTATGCTAGTGAACTACTGCCATGAATTATTACAGTATAGCAATTTGCAATGTATTTTATTTACTCATAAATTTTATACTTGATGTCCGAAGCGGTGACGTGTATAGCGTCGGCTTCGGGATCGGGGATGTGACGGGACCGGCAGCTGAGATTAATATGGTATATAAGTATAGATTTAGGTAAACATAATCAATATTTTCATTTATATGGCAAACAAATAGATGGGTTACGCACAGGTCGGTCAGGATACGGCTGGAATCCATTTCCGATTATATAGTAGGGCTGTTGTTATCGATGATGGAAAGGGAGGTAGAGTTTGTTTCGCATCCGTCGATGTGGCTATGGTTTCACAACTCGTCAAATTAGAGGTGAAATTAGACAAAATAAACATGAGTTCAATGTAACAAGCTATTTTTTGTAATAAATGGCTAGGTCATAAAACAGCTACTGGCTAAATATAACGGCACTTATACCATAAATAATGTGATGTTGGGCTCGACGCACACCCACTCAGGACCGGGAGGTTTCATGAACTATCTCATGTATAATATGCCGTCCCTCGGGTTTGTACAGCAGAACTTTGACGCAATCGTCGCGGGAATCGTACGGAGCATAGACAGCGCCCATACGAGCCTCACGTCCGCCAAAATACTCATAAACAGCGGACAACTGATGGACACTAATATCAACAGAAGTCCCATCGCTTATCAAAACAATCCGCAGTCAGAAAGAGATGAATACGAGACAAACACGGATACAACGATGACTTTGCTTAAGTTCGTGTCCACCAGTGGTCAGATTCTGGGTGTAATAGCCTGGTTCCCTGTCCACTGCACCAGTATGAACAACACCAACCATCTGATCAGCGGTGATAATAAGGGCTATGCGTCCATGCGATTTGAGCAGGACATCAATGGCGGGTCACTTGTCGGCAAAGTATGTCTCCAATGAATAACAATCTTACCTTAAATGTGTCTCATTTAGGGTCCATTTGTAGCCCTGTTTCCCAACTCTAATGAGGGCGACGTCTCGCCCAACACAAGGGGTCCTAAATGTATAGATACGGGACTTGCGTGTGATGTTCTCACCAGCACTTGCAATGGAAACGTAATGTTATTCAATACAAACTTGATTTGTTTTATAACATTAGATTTGTTTGAAAGGTTGGGAAATGCATAGCCTCTGGTCCGGGAAGGGATATGTTTGAGAGCACTAAGATTATAGGCGCCCGACAGTACGTGTTCGCTAAGGAGTTGGCCGATAAGGCGACACAAGAATTATCAGGACCAATTCAATACATACATCAGACCATAGACATGGAAAATGTAACAGTTACTTTACCAAATAACACTAAAGTTACTACATGTAAGGCTGCAATGGGATTTAGTTTTGCATCCGGTACTACGGACGGACCTGGACTCTTTCCATTTAAACAGGGTCTTTATTTTAATTTATAAAAATAATTTGAATCAGCAATTAAAATTGTTATTACAGTATTTTGTTATTGTGATAATTAGGTGACACCGCAAACATATTGTGGAATAAAGTGAAATCTCATGTCAAAAATACTACTAAACAAATGCTGGACTGTCAGTACCCAAAGCATGTCCTTTTGCCTACGGGTGACTTGAAGTTCCCGTTCCCGTGGCAGCCATCCATACTTCCCACGCAGATATTCAGGATCGGACACGTGTTGGTGGCATCACTGCCGTCGGAACTGTCGACAATGTCTGGCCGTAGGCTAAGGGATGCCATCAAAAGGGAATACGAGAAGAACTCGGCCGAAAACATAACAGTAGAGCCCGTCATATCTGGTTTGTCCAACACTTACTCCTCATATGTGGTCACATTTGAAGAGTATGTCTTCACAACTCATACAAATCAATCATTTTCTAAATCAATTGTCGAAATAGGTATCAAATACAGAGATATGAGGGGGCGTCTACTATATACGGCCCCTACACTCTGGACGCCTATATACAGCAGTATCGATATCTGGCCTCCAAGTTGGCCACAAACAGTGCGGTACCTGCCGGCCCTCCAGAGCCAAACTATTTGGATCAGCAAATAAGTCTCGTTCCGGGGGTACTGTTTGACTGCACCCCCGACGGCAAGAAGTTTGGGGACTGTATTAGTGAACCGCTGATGGAGTACACGATAGGGTCGACCGTCAAAGTGGCTTTTGTGAGCGGAAACCCTCGCAATAACGTAAGGGATGAGAGCACCTTCCTTGCCGTTGAGAAACTGGATACTAATAGCAATCAATGGACGCTCATTGCAACTGATGCTAATTGGGAGACCAGGTTTGACACCATATATGAAGGTGTTAACAGTTTGACTCATATGAGACTTATTGATAGGTTTATGTGGATAAAAACTGGGTTTCCATTGCTTTCATGTCAGAGTATAGCCACTATTATATGGGAGATACCCAATGATACAGCACCAGGAGTTTATAGGATTAGACATTTTGGTAATTATAAGGACTGGACACAGACTATATATACATATTCTGGTGTAAGTACATTATTTGCTATCTACGATAACAAAATAACTTTTAAATTATTATAATTAAGCAATTTGTCTATGTTTTAGAGCACCAGGACATTTCGTGTTACGGCATTTCATGATTAAAATAAATGTATTTTATTTGACAACTCATAGAATGTTTATAAATTTATAACACATATTATATCATATTAATGTATAACATATTTTAAATGTAATATATTTATATAAACAATCGTATAATTCATTCAATAAGTGTAGTCTGAATGAGAATAACAGTATAGGAAATAATAGCGGAAATAATGGCTAAAATAGTAGACAAATGAATGTCGAAAAAAGCGGAGGCATTGAACGCAATCTTTTTGCTCACATCTGATATCAACTGGAGGTCTATCTTAACAGTCATTCTCTCACTTTTATCGACCACTCCATCGA